TTTTTTTAGCAAGTTTTCAATTTATGATGCTTTGTTTAGTACCAGTAAATGAAAATTCATTTTCTCTTTTTTTTTAAAAGTTTTTTTATTGATTTTTTTTAAATTAAAGTCTTCTTTTAGCACTTTTAATAAGAGGAGAACATTAATTTTACGGATTTTTTTATGGTAAAAATGTTGTCAGTGGTAATGAAACTAGAAGACAAAAGAATTTTACACGGTATTCACTGTGTGTACAGTAAGCAATAGAAACTGTTAGAAACTGTCTTATTAAATTCTGAAACAAAAATGAGTCTGTAGAAAAAATGCTGCACAGCATTGAGTCATTGGCAAATGATGAATCTTTTAACGGTTGAATAGAAGCACCTGCAGATAGACTGACAGTAAATAGCAGAAACAGTTGCAATTTTTCGTACAGTTACTGTTTAGCTATTTACCTGATGTCTCTAAAATGAATGGTCGTAATTTTGGCGCTGTATTAGTGAGAATATTATCAAAAAATGAAACAGTTTATGTTACATAGAGTACGTTTCTTAAGGTGTAAAAAAATAATTCGTGTTTTAATTGAGCTTTTATTTGCGATGAAAAATACGATTTTCATGGTACAGTAGGATACGGTGCGGAGCATAGTGAATGCAGGTTAAAAATTCGTTTAGATGCTGAAGCTGGAAATTCATCAGCATAAGTTTGCGAGATAAAATTAACATTTAGCAGTGGGCTTTTCTACGAGCAAATTTTCTCAATTTTACTGAGATCAGTGTAGTCAAAAAACTGTTGCTTGAAATTGAGGACGACGCACGAATGAATTAGAGTACTGCAGTTGGGACTTCCGACAATTGAAAAAGCAATTTTTTTCACTATAAAACCAAATCACGAGTTAAGAACGCTGTGCAAAAGAGCTGAAAAATGTGCATCATGAAGTTCTCCCGCATTCTTGTTTGTTAGACATGGCACCAATCGATTATAATTTTTTTTGGAATTTTGAATTATTAATTTATGAAAAACTTTAGTAGCTTTAAGCACGCTGTAAGTATCTAAACCGTTTTTTGACTTCTAAATTTTATTGGATTTTTTTTTGCAGTAATTTCGATTCCTATACCGAGTAAATAGAAGAGTTAAAATTTACTTTTCATTTACATAGTTATACTTTAGAAAAGACTTGTATCTTATTGGAACTTTACAAAAAACAAAAAAAAAAACAGAGGAAACTTTGTGAAAAACTTGAAAAATTTTAGAGCAATATGTAAATAGAGAAGAAAAAGACTTAACACTAAAATTTGTCTGACTTTTATCAATGATATAATGATTTTTTTTTCTAGAAAAATATTGGTCAAGGTAATGGAAAACCGCGGTTAGATCTGAACGTTGAGAAAGCTTGGGCAATGGGATTCACTGGTAAAAATATAACAACAGCAATTATGGATGACGGTGTTGATTACATGCATCCTGACCTTAAATACAATTTTGTAAGTTTTGGAATCTTGAAAATCAGACACAAAAGAACTGGTAACGAAAAATTTTTCTGTATTGACTATTTTACCGAACAATCAACGCAAATATGTATCAAACCAAAACCATGTTTTAGAATGCAGAGGCTAGCTACGATTTTAGCTCTAATGACCCATTTCCATATCCAAGATATACAGATGACTGGTTTAACTCTCACGGAACACGGTAAATTTGTTAGTCAACTGTTTTGTTTGGCTCTAGGGCTTAGAAACAGTTTAAATTTTAGATTGTGCATAAACAGTATAGATTTTCTTTGAAGAAAATTATTGACTAATTTATATAATAATATTTGTGAACTCATTCAAACAGAAATAGATAAGTTAAATGAATGAATAAAGTAAATATTATGGTTGTTTCTCAACAGGTGTGCCGGAGAAATTGCTGCTGCCAGAGATAACGGTGTATGTGGTGTTGGTGTAGCATATGATAGTAAGATTGCCGGAATCAGAATGCTAGATCAACCATATATGACTGATCTGATTGAGGTTGTTTTTTGTTAGAAATGAACCTTAAAATACATATAGAATTTAACGAATGTATAGTCTGTTGCTTTTGTAGGCAAATTCTATGGGACATGAACCAAACCTTATTCACATCTACTCAGCTAGCTGGGGCCCAACTGATGATGGTAAAACTGTCGATGGTCCGAGAAATGCAACTATGAGGGCAATTGTGAAAGGTGTTAATGAGGTACGAAAAAACGCTGTCTATCATCACCTTTTGTTGTTTCTCGTACTAAAGTTTTATTCTCACTTTTTCAAAATCACTCTCTCAATTATTTCGAAAAAAAACCTAGCTCATAAAGGCCAAAAAGTGTACCGAAAATTATAAAAAAATCGATTACTTATTTTCATAATTATTTTCATATTTTTTTTTAAAGCTGGTGACATTTCAAAACCTCTATTCGGCATATTCTTTTAGTACCTATTCTTTAGTACTACCTATTCTTTTAGTAATTAGCCACTGTAGTTAATTTTTCTACGTTCTAATAAACTGTCAATTTCTGAAGACAAAAATGCTTGTACAGTTACGTTTAGGTTTTGAGACTGTTTTAGTACAGAATAGTAATAGTGGCATCACTCAGTATGCTTTTGAAAGTCTTTACAAAGAAGTAGCAGTATTGTTGCAGTTTTCCTGCATCGGTATGTTTTGGCGATTAGAAAACAAATAGAATATTTGCAGGGAAGGAATGGATTGGGCTCAATTTTCGTCTGGGCCAGCGGTGACGGTGGTGAAGACGACGACTGTAATTGCGATGGTTATGCAGCTTCTATGTGGACCATATCCATTAATTCGGCAATCAATAGTGGAGAAAATGCGCATTATGACGAGTGAGTTAAATCACTGAACCTTCTGTTGCTGTCCAATCCTCAACACTTCGCTCTAACATTCAGCGTTTTTCTGTGGGACAAGTGTTGTTTAGGAGTTGTTCATCAACATTGGCATCAACATTTTCAAATGGCGGACGCGATCCCGAAACTGGCGTAGCTACAACGGATCTGTATGGACGATGCACTCGTTCACATAGTGGCACCTCTGCAGCTGCTCCGGAAGCTGCTGGAGTATTTGCTCTAGCACTGGAAGCCAATCCTATGCTTACATGGTAGTGATTCTGCGAACAACGTTTTATTTTTACTGTCAGCATGCGTATTTCTGTGTTGATTGTCATCCAATCTCTTAATTTAAATACGTATAATTTACAGGCGTGATCTACAACATCTTGCCGTTTTAACATCAACCCGTAATTCGCTTTTTGATAGTCGCTGTCGAGACCTACCTGATCTTGGCATAGAGGTTTGTACATGCTTTATGTACTACGTTTATGCTAATAATGATAATTAATCGGGTAGCAGAAGTGGCAGTAAGCAGTAAAACATTAATTAAATTTGGTGTTCATTTTTTCATAGAAAGTATTTCAGGGTACTAAACAACCGATAAAAAAAACTGACAACTGCACACATTTTGAATGGAACATCAACGGTGTTGGCCTGGAGTTCAACCATTTATTTGGATATGGTGTACTCGATGCTGCAGAGATGGTGATGTTAGCTTTGGTATGGAAAACGGTTCCTCCACGATATCACTGTGAAGCTGGAACTATTGATATACCTCAGTAAAACTTTATTAATTTTTTTGTTTATTATTCTTGGATGCTTTAAGTTGAGAAGATATCCTGATGTTTTTGAACAGCAGTTATCTTGAAACTGTTTCTTTTAACTAACTGGTTTTTGATATATTTATAAGCCAGTTGCTGCTGGAATTATGAATGCAGTTATCGTTTTCAGTCAAATACCACAGATTGGAAATTTGGTAATGGAAATGAATACTGATGCCTGTATGGGTACAAGCACTGAAGTAAATTACCTCGAACATGTTCAAGCTGTTGTAACGTTTAACAGTACACGGCGTGGTGATACAACCCTATATCTTATTTCTCCTTCTGGAACACAGTAAGTTCTGTATATTATAAAATTTATGTTTGTGTAATTTAATTTTTGGTAAAAGACGATGCAAATAATCTCTGTAAACCTGCTAATACTTGAAGGACAATGATCCTCTCCCGAAGACCGAAAGATAATGACTCGAAAGACGGATTTATCAATTGGCCATTCATGACTACTCATACATGGGGAGAAAATCCGAGGGGCAAATGGCGTTTGGTTGCTCGGTTCCAAGTCTGTATTTTTATATTTTTTTTCTTGAGGACAAAAACAAAAGGGCAAAAATTTTTATATTTTCTTTTTTTGACTGCAAATATTGCCTTAGAAAACTTTTGAAAGCAGCGAAAAGATAGTGGTTTTTGCACTGCTTATCAGATTTGAACGGCAGCCTAGGTTCCTGTATATTAACTGCACTACACAAAAAAAATTTCAAATGGTCATCTGCTATACACAGTTTTTTTTAACCACATTATCTTTGATAGAAGGAAAGGGAAAGAATAAGTATTTTAGGGTGACAGAGTGCATACTGGATTCATAAAGAAATTTACTCTGATGCTTCACGGAACCAAAGATCCACCATATGCCGATATAGAACCACTAAAAGGACATGTCAATAGCAAATTACATATTGTACAGAAGGCCCATAAGAGGAGTCTTAAATAAGATGATGGCAAACTGTAGTTTCCAATAAAAAAGAAATATTGATGCTTACTTATTTTTCCACTAATAAAATTCATTGTATTTCTGAAACAGCTCTATCCTATTTTTTAATTTAATTTTAATTTTTTGTTTTACACAGATTTCTATTAATTATTATTTGTAAGACTTCAACGACTTTACATATTTCCCCGGGTTTGTGATCTCATTTTCTGTGTTCTCACTCAAAACGGTGTTTTCAGTATATTTTTTGGATGTAATGTAGAAAATAATCAGTGTTCATCTATCCTTACATTTATATTGTTTTATTAGTGTCAAAAAAAAACTTCTTTTAAAAACAAGTAGCCCGAAGTCTATTTTTGCTAATGTCTATATATTTCTTCAATGCTAATGACATTCATTTGGATTTATATTCTCAAATTTCAGCTTTATTTACTTCTTTACAAACAAAAATGGACATGACATTTATCTCGGACTGACTTACTGCTAACATCTAACACATACCAAAGAACTCCCAACTGTTCACTGAGCAAAAAGAAAAGAAAATTTGCTGGCGAAAAAATGGTCTGATATAACATCATTTGCTAGAAATAAACAATGTTATAAAAAAGTTGCTTTGATTTGTAGAGAGGAACTAAGTCGGTCTTTTTGCCCTCCTTCTATCGTTGTTTATTCGATGCTGCCTAAAACTGCTTAACAGACATTTCGATCAGGTTATGATGACGTAGGGAAAAGCAGTTTTTTCCTGAAAACGACAGTAACTGCTTCAAATTTTCAGTTAAAAAATTGTTTTTGCTGGAAACCTATTCTTGAGCATTCAAATTCTGGCCACGTTTGAAAGGCCGAAGGAGATGCTGTTTGGACAATTGGTATCAAACTGGGGGGGAAAGCTTATTTGTGTTAGCATCCAATTTCCTTTCTGTTTTTTTTTCTTACCTTCTTCTTAGACACCTAAAGCTACATTGTTTAACTGCACTTATGACTTACTGCCTTTTTACTAAGAAGGAAATGGTATTAGATGATTTATTTATTTCTCTCGTTGCAGAAACAAAATACCTCGCTTAAGCTTAATAGAAAAAGAACGATAGGAATTGACATCGACTAAAATCGAAGAAGAAGAAGTAGCTTTGGTTGTAAAATTTGATGGCTCAACAGATGTTGATAACAAAAATTTTAAATTTTAAAGGAAAGACGGATCAAAAAAAGGCTTGAAAATACTGGGTTATGTAGACAAAAATCTAAAGAATAGAAGATTCAATTGGCATGAAACGAAATTGCAACAT